TTTGGACAATAAAAAGTTTTCATCTCGCCGCTAGCCAACATTCCATTATTGACACAAAGCGCATTGTTTCTTCCGCCGTTTGAACTATCCTTCCCAACACTAACATTGTATGGGTATGTATCATGTGAAGACCAGGCTATAGAATTTGTTATCCGAACATGTGTGACAGCGGCTACTTCTTTAAGATCCACTTGCCACCAGGGCTGCTCTTCATAACTGGTGAAACTACATCTCTGCCACTCTGCCGTTCTGTCACCATCATTTCCAAAGCTTGCCACAAGTTCTGTTCCGTCATATGTACGGGTTGATGAATGGGAAGATGGCTTCTTATAGGCGATATTCTTTGCTGTGGGTGGAAGATAATTTACAGAAAGAAATTGTAACAAAAACTCTTCTTATGCACAATACTAAACAAAGGCTTTGTACCTTGAAAGATGCCTACTTTGACTCAAGTAAAGGAGCTTGATACCAATGTAGTTACTATTGTATTTACCAATGCATTCATACCCTGGGCAGTAGCAAGTGTCAATGCATTTATGTCCGGCGCTGCAAGGATCATTTGCTTGGCAATACTGACCAACCTGCAATGTAAAAGTTTTATTTCATGAAAGATCAATTTTTATCCCTATCACAACATATCACTAGTGCTATATTAGTCTTGAAATTTACGAGAATAAAAGCTCTTGTTGTTTAAGGCCATGTTTTTTGCAGAGCTAAAAAGATAAAGATTGAAAGCTGTGTTTGATGCTCATCTTGATCAATGACTTGTTGTTCTTCCTTCTTCTCTCTTTTCAACTAATTTTTATATGTGCCCTTTACGCAATTTTCTGTCACCAAATTAGTTTTTAAATTTATAAAGTTAGTTGAATTTTAAATAGGTATTTCAATAGAAAACTCACATTTTTCTCTTCAAAACGGGTTGAATGATATGTCCAACCCTCCTTTTTTTGGGCTTCAATGAAATCTTTAGGATCCTGTGCTGATTTGTTATTCAACTGGCAAATACCCAACTCTCTGTTTAAGTTTATAGACTTGCATCGATGCTCCATGATGCATTCAAACTTACACATCTGCTCATCCAAGTTGTCCAAAGAACGAAATGTAGAACTAAGTGAATGATCATGAAGCACAGCAGTAAAATTGGCAAAGATCTTGCATGGCAGACGAAGTATTTCTCCATTTATATTTACAGAAATCACAAGCAGCAACAGTCTAAAAAATATTAGTACTGAATCAAGGCTTACTTTTTACAAGCCGTTTTCTACAAAGTAATTAGAAAATCTCTTTGTCCATTAAAGATATACACATAAAGAAGCCCATCAAACCTAGCAACAATAGTTGTTTATAAGCATAAAAAATTTTGATGATAAAGTTTCACGAATCAAAAAAAAGCTTACAGAAATTATTTATAAATATCATCTTAGATAAAATTGTTTGTCACAAGAAAAATCTTCCATTAGAATGCTGAACTACTTTTAATCATCCGGAGGAAAGTACTTCGGAACCTAAGTCTAATACGTTTTATTGTTTTCACAAGCAAAACTTTAACAAAGCTGTTACACTTTCAAGACAACATATTCTCTACAAGCTAACAGAGTTTAGATCTACTTCGACACAACCTTTGCTATAAATTAAAAACATTATGTAGGAAAATGTAACAGTAATCTTTGTCACAATTCATCCTTGAAAACAAAATTGAAGTTAGCAAATTGAAAGGAAGAAAATTCGTAGTAAAGACTTTTTCATAGAAATATTGTAAGTCAAATTCTTAAGTTAAAACAATCAATTCCAGATGAGGCCAAGATTCTACGTTGCTTCATCTTCAGAAAAAAGTTAATGTCAAAAGCACGGGTTTTGAATGAAAGATTTGCGAAAAAACTAAAATAGTATGATAACGATCACTAAGTGAAAAATAGATTAAGGGGAAAGAAAGAAATACAATGTTTAAAACAAGCGAATGGAGCAACGCCGGGAATCAAGAAAAGGACATACACGTAAAATAAGTTGACTTTTGTGGATGAACAGATAGAAAAACATCTACAATGTAACATTTCAAAATCAAGACATACATTTGAAAATGCATCTTCTTTGATTGGGGAACCAGACAACTTTGTCTTTTTACCTTATGCTGGAAGAAAACAGCTCGCTTCTTACCAACTTTAAACACACTTTGCACTGACCATCAATTGATTCTAAAATTGCCATAAATTGAAATTGGAATCTGTTTTTAAGGTTTGACAACATCGGAATTTATCAATAAACTTGAAAATTTGCATTTGTTTAACACTGTTGAAAACACTGTTCTTATTAAAGATTTTTCGGATGCATTTCCTGAATATTTTTGCCGAAATTTAATTACTAAATCAACCTGCAGAAGTTCTTGTTGCTTAGAATAATAAGAATATAATAACACAAACATACATTAAAATAAGAGTTTTGCTTTAGTAACTGGAAGGATCTGTTGTTATTTAAGATTCTAATTGCATCTAGTCATTTGCTGCAAATCGAGTGATTTATTAAATTGCGCAACTTCCAAATTTTGAAGAAGTTTAAATAAATAGGCACTTTTAAATCCAATCGAAGTCTGTTTCTTGATAATCTTATGTGTAAACAGTTGATGATGAATATTTTTGTATTGAAATGCATTGATTTATGTTTTGCATATTAACTGTTGTTGAATTTTATTTTGTTTATATAATCAAAGTAAAAGAATATCAAATCATATCTTCAAAACCCTAAGGCTTTATCAGCATGTCAAGTGATCACACTAACAGAGACTTCGATCAAATTTTGTTCAATCGTTTATTGAAATCTTATTGCTTTAATAGCATTTAGATTTTTTTCTATTCAATTGATATAAAAGTTAAGTTCCAGAAATGTCAAATTTTAGGAAAGACCCTTTTGGAAGCGTAATTAGTAATCATTGAAAATGTGTATAATTATTTCTGGAAAGTTGTTTGATAGGGGGCAAGTATCCTTTTCCATCTTCCACTTCCCCATTTTCATCCCTGCACTCTTAGAAGACGCCTGCTTGCCTATCGTAAGGCATAATTGTATACAGTTGGGTAGAATTAAGCAACCTTTAACAGCTTTGAAACTTTTCCAGAAAGTGGTCTCCTGTCTATCGATGTTAACTTGAGTTTAAAAGAAATTCTTTGCTAGATATATTTTGCACTTGTTCACGTAATATGGGATTGGATTCATTGCCAATGGACAAATTAGAAGAATACGAAGGAGTTGCATTAATTATGTAGGAGGAATAATTCAATTGTCTAGCTTAACAAACAGCAAAATCCCTAATCAAATGATGTGCGGCCTAAATGGCTCTTTATTTTTAGATTCGCATCTTTTCTTTGCGCAAATAATTTAACATAAAGAGGAGAAAAGTATTGCTGGGTTGGACAGAAACAGAGACAATCGTACAAAAATTCAACAATTTAAAAGTAACGTTTACTTTTAGTCTAATGTTTCCCATTCCGACTATTCGGAGATTTGAAGAATGCATTCATCCCTTTTCCGGTTAATCGATAATCAAAATCTAATCCTCTTGACTGTGCTTACCCATCCATTTCCTTTGACTTAAAATCAGGTATTTTTTCTTCGCAAAGTTTACCTCAAATGGGCTTATTAGGTTCAGATTTCACGAGTAAGCATTTTTAAGCTTCGATCATTTCGAGCTCTGCAACAAAATGTCGCATGGGTAATAGCGAAGAACTTAGCTCACAGAGGACATGACCAGGTGAGAGACGAGGCCTTGTTACAGAATTTTTGGTAATTTGATATTCTCAAGGGTCAACAACAATGCCAAACAATGCCGGCTTCTCTCCAAACACCTACAAGTTTGGGCTTAGTTCTTAGCTTAGAAACAAGGCACCAAAAAATGGTAAACGCTCAAGACTCATCTGTTTAGATAAGAAAGTCACGACCTACATAATTTTCCCCTAAATACCTATGCCTTAAGTACCAACACAGATCTCCCCTTTCGATCAACCTTGAGAACATTTCTAATCCATAATCCACATTACCAAAAGATTCGAGCATCTCTATAACGTGTACTGCATTTAGTTTTCCAAAAGTCTGATCTTTGAGTTAAAAAGTTATTGATAAAAGTATGTAAGATCTTTAAATAAGACTACAGTTTCGCAGCATTTTTATATGATTTAAAAAGAAGTTGAGTACATTTTTCACAGTTAAAGTAAATAGCAATTTCATTTGTTTCATAGGAAAGATTTCAATCAATCTATTGTCCAAATGGGACTTTTCATGCTCGTGACGTTGCTTCTCAATATTTTCTGCTTTGCTTTAATAAAGTCAGACGAGAATCAAAGTACAAGCAAATCTGTTTTCGAAGAAGTGCACAACCCAACTCAAATAACGACAAGCATGTTGCATAAGACCTTCCATCAATGCAGCCATGATAACACCTGTCGTTACGTTGTTAAGGATATTAAGAACCACATATTTTATAAATTTAGAGATGAGCAAGATATCCCAACCGAGAGATCAAACTTCGTTATATGGTCTAAGAGACAAGCAAGAAGAGGTATGAGTTGTTATTCCAAAGCCAAGTAATAAACAGCTCTAGTTAGTAATCAATAACTGGTTATTTAATCCTTTAATGAGTGTAGAAAGATCTCTACTAATTATGAATTGTAATTGATGCTTCTTCCAAAAGAAATTAATGAAGATCAACACAAGACACACTTTTACTAAAGGAGTGCTTGATTTTTGTATTCTGTCAGAAAAAGCATATTTAACCAACCAAGCTGTCACAAATGCCTGACTTTTTACTGATTTTAGTACTTGAATGTCTCTGAATTACAAAATCGTTTCATTCACTGAACGGACTTTTCCTAAACTTTCTGTTAAGCCACAATTGGGGTTGTAAACACCCCTCCTCTCTACATCACATTCTAAATTATTTTATTTTGCATATCTTCTTTGCTATTTTACCTTAATCAATCTTATTTATGTATGGGTTAGCAGTGTATGTTCCCATGTAATGGCCCTAGGGTAGTCATTGACTTTTGCTCCTCGTTGTATGATCCTTGCATTATTGTGTTGCAATTTGACAGTAAATAAGAAAATGTAGCATTCCACAAGATGTTTTATTTCTAATAAAATCCTTTGATTTGTCTTAAATTCCAGGCGTTCAAGGAAATATAGCTTATAAGAAGCCGTCCTTGCATTCATCCGCTCATAAATATGATGGAATTGCATTTGTTGCCAGCTTTGGAAATGACGGTAACAAAACTGGGGCCTGGCAGTGATGCAGTATCACAAAAGCTGACATAGTACCCTGGTGGCAAGTTGACCTAACAAGGAAAGCTGCTGTCACAAGTGTCCAAATAAAAAGTGGCGCAACTTGGGGTCAAGAAAAAATCAATCCATTCGATATCAGTGTTGGAGATGCTAGATCAAGTGGTGGGCGCAACAATGCGCTTTGCGTAAAAGATGGAAGGTTGGCAATCGGTGAATTGAAAAAGTTTGATTGTCCGAGGCTTTTTTTGCTTGGTCGGTATGTGACTGTGTTCTTGAACAGGGAAGAATATCTTCAAGTATGTGAGCTTGAGATTCACGAATTTCAAACAGAATGGTTCGTGTAAAGTATCGTTATTGGTAGATTTCATGTTATATAATGATCATTCCGTATGTATGTTCTTTGCAGAGTCTTTTATGGCATGTGGAAGTGGCTTTGAAAAAAGCAAACATTATGAAACATAATAAGGTTTTCGTTTAACACTCTTCGGAGTGTAAATCGTCAGAACAAAGATAAAATAACTTGCAGCTAAATTTAGGCCAATTTTTGATGTTTTTGCCACTATCTGCAAAAAATAATGGTGTAAAATTTGCTGAAAGATAATCTAAATTTTCTTTAAAGAATTGAATCTTTGATGAATTCATGGAAAAACTGCCGTTGTACTCAGCAAACATTTTTTCCGCGATCATTAGTTACGAAGGATTTAAGGAGAGGGAGAACAGAAAAATTACAGTATTTAAACCTTAAAAGTTGGTTTAGCCACATAATTAACAATAATGAACTTACCTTTACAAGCCAATGTTAAAATATTTTCTTGTCGGCATTGATGTTTCTGTTAACGACAAAATAAATCACTAAATTCCACTGAGAGAAAATGCAGCCCACCATTCTCTTAAAATAACTACAATTGAACAATTTCTTTGCGCTCAGGTACTTGGTATATTCATTTTAAAGGCTTGAGGATCGATGAAAAGCTCACGTATACTGATGTTCACTGCTATGGCAGAGTAAAAGCTGACGCAATTCGTCAACGGTGAAAATGGCGGGAAAATAAAAATGCATCATTTACGAAAAATTAGCTTTTCCGGGTAAAAAATCTCCGGTTGTCTGAAAAATATTGGAAAGGATCCCCGATAAAATAAAATGTAAGAAAATGAAATTTTATGCTCCCTGTCCATTGCAGGTGTAGACAGGTAGAGGAGCATCAAGAACTAACACTAACGATTGTATAAAAATTTCAGTAACTTTTGATGAAAGTTTAAAAGTTACAAATTCCTTGTCCATAAAAATTCCTGATCTAGAAGAAGTTCTTCTCAATTTTTAACCAGTTCAGGTTTTTCTATTCTGCTAGCAAACTATTTAAGATTTGTCACGTCTTCAAGCCAGAATATTCTCAAAATTTTAAAAAGATTTTGGAACATTAGTTCTTTATTTTGTGAATTCTTTGGTGAATTCAGGGTGTTTTCCCTGAAGTCTGGAAGCAAGCTAACAAAGTTCCCATCCATAAGAAAGGCAGTAAGAACATGAAGCAAAACTATCGTCCTATCTCTCTTCTCCCAATCTTTGGTAAAATTCTGGAAAAGCTGATCTTTGACTCGCTTTATCATCATCTGAATACAAATAATTTATTAAACCCAAATCAGTCAGGATTTCGCCCAGGAGATTCAACTGTCAACCAGTTACTGACAATAGTCAACTCCATATTTACTGCTTTCGACTGCAATCCCACGGTAGATGTCCGATCCGTTTTTCTCGATATTTCAAAGGCCTTTGACAGGGTCTGGCATCTCGGTCTCATATACAAGCTACGCCGTTGTGGTGTCTCTGGTAAATTACTAACACTAATGCAAAGCTTTCTCAATGATAGAAAGCAGCGCACTGTTTTGAATGGAAGAACTTCTAAATGGGGTAGTATTTCATCTGGAGACCCCCAAGGCTCTATCCTCGGTCCTCTATTCTTCCTAATTTATATCAACGACTTGACAGATGGCTTAACGTGTAATGTGAAACTATTCGCCGATGACACATCGATCTTCAAAGTTGTAAACGACCCACATGAAGCTGCACGTGATTTGAACCATGATTTAAACCTCATCAAGCTTTGGGCACACAATTGGCGAATGACTTTTAATCCTGACCCAACTAAGCAAGCAGTTGAGGTCATCTTTTCCAAAAAGAAAACTCCAACGAATCATCCTCCTATCTTTTTTAATAATATTCCAGTAATGAAGGTCCACGAGCACAAACACCTCGGTATTATACTTGATTCTAAACTATCATTCGCTAGTCACTTTCAATCAATTATTTCTAAATGTAAACAAGGCATAGGGATGTTGAGATTCCTTTCAAAGTACATGCCGCGATATACGCTCAACGAAATGTATAAGCTCTATGTCCGTCCCCATCTGGATTATGGTGACGTAATATATCACATTCCACAAAATACTCATGATTGTAGCCAAACTGTTACATTGACCAATTTGATGGAAAAACTCGAGTCCATTCAATACTCTGCCGCATTAGCAATAACTGGGGCTTGGAAGGGCACATCGTGCCAAAAAATTTATGATGAACTCGGATGGGAATCGCTAAACCACCGACGATGGAGTAGACGCCTTGTTTCTTTCTTTAAAATAATCAATAACTTGACACCAGATTACACTAGAAGCCCTATACCCGAACTTCAGAAATCAGGCTACATTCTTCGCAGACAGGCTTCAGTAGGGCAAATACAGGCGAGAACTGAGAAATTTAAAGCTAGTTTTTATCCAAATTGTTTATCTGAATGGGAAAAACTCGACCCAGAGATCAAACAATCCCACTCAGTAAGTGCTTTCAAAAAACAACTATTTGCATTTATCCGTCCAACAAAAAAGCTAGTCTACAACATCCACGACCCAAAAGGTTTATCCATTTTGACACAACTTCGTGTTGGACTTAGCAAGCTGAATTTCCACAAATTCAAACATAACTTCAGTGATACCCTGAATCCTTTGTGCCCCGTAAATGATGGTATTGAGGATACGGAACACTTTTTGCTGCTCTGCCATGCTTACGATACAGATAGACGTGATCTTCTTGACAATGTGAGGGCTATATTGCAACCCCATGGATTAACAAACCTTTCGAATGAAGCTTTACTGCAAATAATTCTTTATGGTCATGAAAAATTATCTTTAAATTCAAATACAAAAATTCTTGAGGCAACATTAAAATATATTCAGACCTCTGAAAGGTTTCATTAAGTAGTTTTATAAATCTTCTCTCCTATGTAATTTGTCTTTCATTGTTCTTGTTTTGTTTCGTCAATGTAGTTTGTCCTTGTTTTTGTTTTAACATCCAAATTGTAAATGTCTTTAATTATTAGTAATCTGTACCATGTAATTTGCAACATTTAATGCAACCTTAATTTAAATCAAATATGTTTAATGTAATGGCCACAGGGTTGCTATGTATTTCCATGCTCCCTGTGGTATCGTCTTGTAGTTGTCTGTTTTGTAAAATTTTATGAGAATATAAAAAAAAAAAAAAAAAATTCTTTGGGAATATTTTGAAAGCCCTGAATACCAAGTGAATACTTTTTATGAAGTAAAACTATACAAAATGATGTAAAAAAAACGCATTTGCTAACGCATTTTCTATTATCACAAAGCTAGAAAATTTTGTCTTTATACTTTATACTGGAAGAAAACCGCTCACCTCATACAATCTTTGAGCATTCTTACCACTGACCATCAAGTGATTTCATTTTTTCAGAATGTGGAATACGACTTAGATGACGTAATCAAAATGCTAGAAGACTTGCCTTGATAATCAATTGTTTATTAGATATTTGTTATAGAATGCTCCAAATCACTTGCTGTACCTAAACTGCTTTAACAACTTGTGCAAAATATATTTTCTGAATATATTTTGATAAAGACGCTTTATGAAATGCAAATGAAATTCTATTTCTTGATCATTCTATATAATCTGTTGTTAACTCAGTTTCAAACGAAATGAAATAATCCCCAGCTTTGCAAATATTCAAGAAAAAAGTCTCAGAATTCTAGTCATTCAATTGTACTTGTAATCCTCGCAAGGAATACGCATGTAACATAGGTAATATTTGATTTACATTGTTTACGGAATTTGAGACCCTTGCAGCCGATGGTTTTAGATTGTTGCAGGTGAAAATATGCCTTCCTGTGTAATATTATTCTTGTTTTTGACAAGGCAAACCTCTAAGATACCTTGTAAAGTGATAAATATTATGAAATTGAATTCAAGAAAAATTCGAACAAATCATAATTTTGGATAAGCGATTCTTTAGAAACCAAGTATTTAGATTTTGACATTATAAAGGGCATTTTATGAAAATCTGATTTTGAACAGAAAAATTTTCATGTTTCATTATGAATTTTGGCTTTACTTCGACAGTGATTTCGGTTTTAAGAAAGACTCCTTGGGCAAAACTTTGCGTGTGCTGTTTGTAAGGACCTGTTTTTACTTTGCTTTGCGTAATTAGATTTAACATACTTTGCCTTGGTCCATTTGTGTGCTTCTGCATTTAGTTTTTCTGTCTCTTTAGATGAATTTTGCTGCTGCTATAAGAGTTGCATGAGCCAAGATCGAGCAACACACTACTTTATAAAGCAAACCGGAAGTTGAAAAAAGTGTTCCATTAGTAAAGGATAGCAAATAGAAAGGTTGTGGAAACTAGAAAACAAACTCTTGCACATTACTCTTTAATATCGTTAAATGATCCATGAATCGTATATAATTATTGCAGCGTAGGAATATATTGATAAAATCCTTCTGGCCTTGTCTTTTAAGTTAGTAAGCTTTACTTTTTACGAGGATATTTAAGCTGGAATTGAATTTTTGGAAGAATATCAACCCTGAACTGCTAAACAAAGCCCAAAAAATATTATTACATATGATCAACAACACTATAATAGCTTAAATCAAAAAACAACACTATAATTCACATCAGTTTCTGACACTATATCGTGGTCTTTGCTTTGCTATATTTAACAAAGTCAAAAGAATAGAGATTTTTTTTTCCTTAGTCAAAAATTGCATTGACAGATATTAGAGCTTAAAGAAAACATCAAGCTATCCTTCCTTAAAGGAGTTTTATTAAAGAATCTTTCCGGAAAAAAGTAGTTTTTTGTAATTGAAATTTCTTGAATAACCAAAAGTCACAGGTAAAGAAATTTCTGCCTTCGACATCACTGTTCATAATTACTTGACTGAATATACACAAAAACCCTAAAATACAATACTTATTACAACTTGATAAATTTCGAGAATAAAGTTGATTTTTATTATGGAAATCTCTTGCTTTTGGCAAAAGTCACAACTAAAAGATTTGTGCCTCCAACTCACTGTTCATAATTACTGTACTGAATAGTAATGAAAATCAAAGAATATAAATTACAACTGGATACATTTTGCGGCTTCATGTGCATACTATGTAAAAGCATGAATTTTTTGTGCATTTTGAATTCATCGTGCAAATCCTCTATGGCTGCTAGTAGCTAGATATATTGCTTTTCACTTTAAATGCATTCGTGCTTGCCAGGAAATAGAGAACGAATCGTGATTTCTGAACCTTTTTTCAGAATACATCTAAAATGCAAAGTTCATACATTAATACATACTTCTGACAGTATTATTATCACAGAATTTTTTCAGTTGTTTCAAAAATATAATTTCAATTTATCAAAATGATGTGCAGAAACTCTTCGCTTGCAAATTTTAACAAAAAAATTTAACGAAATTAACTTAAATTAACCCAGTATTTGACATAGATTCCAGGAAACCATTATTTGTCACACATCCCAAGAAACTAGCTGAGATAAATAAGTGAATCATTTGCGGACTAGGAATGCCTAGGCTCATTGTCAGCTCTTTGTAAATGTTGTGATATTTAGCAAATTAAGTTCCCAGTCTTGAAGTTTTAAGAAGAATGCAGTAAAAGCAATAGCTGGAAACATGAAATTTGCAAAAGGAGTCAAGAAAGTTTGTCGAAATAAGAACAATAATTAGTTACGGCTATCCCAAACTGAGATTGAGGTATCAGTAGGGGATTTTTAAATTTAATGATACCATCCCAAAATATGTGCGTAAAATTAACAAAAATATTGGATTATCCTTTCAAGCCAAATGCAAATCTTTATACATTGGTGAGATCTGCACGCTGAAGTGGTGCTTGCATTGATGAAAGTCTGGTGTTGTTTACTTAGATTTGAAGATGCCAATGGAGCATCATTGGTTGCTTTTGAAATTAACAAAGTATGGTGTTGCCGAAGCTTGCTTGAAAGAACTCTGTTTCTTGGTTTTAGGAAGGCCAAGTACCCTCAGTACCAGAGCCACACAATTTCACGCGCGTAAATAGAAAACTAAGCGGAGAAGCGGGGATCTTCGCCAATGCGGTCGCCATAAAATTTTGATGGAGCGGGCTACAAAACCGATGGTTTGCCGACAAAATGTGTATGGCAATAGATACAGGCGTGGTTCCTAAACGATTATAATTATTATTGATGAAACTCGCGAATATTTACTCCTTCGCTTCTGTACTCCAATCTTCTAGTCCTGCGATCGAAATTATGTGGGTCTGGTACCCAGGGTAAAAAGCTAAAGTATCAATGGGCCCATGCATTCTTTCAACTCTTGACAGTTTTGAAAAAAAATAGACTTTTTTGAACAGTGAACCTCGGATTCTTGTAGTACTAAGCCATTTTAGCCATTTTGATGATCGAAGATATCATGTCCAAGATAACTAAAGCCAAAGAATGTAATTGTTCTATATTGTACAACCCCCCAGTCACCAGAAAGCACCAAATAGAGGCTAAGATCAATATACAAAATAGAAGGCACCACCTGGGAGGACTGGATCGCAATCTACATTGAGTAAAACAACTTTCAGGGTAGCAAATTTGTCCGGAAGGTTGTCACGCCGATAAATTTTGTATGACCCACGCATGCGTAGTATATATTGACTAAAGCAAAGTCTACGATCGTTAAACATGACTGGCAACAAAATTTTTGAAAAAGCCCTTTTCCAAGTTAATAGGACCACCAGTTCAAATAATTATCATTATTGTTCTCATCGTCAATTAATAAGTCACTAAACTAAGAATTTGAGCCGTTCCAGTACATAATGTTTCTTGACATGTCATGTTTCCAATAGTCAGATATTCTTCCAAGTTTCTTAAAACTTTTGTGTAAATGTGAATCTATAACCTGATGTGGTTTCGCTTCACACATGCAAAAGACTGTTCAAAATTTTCTTGAAAATCTGTCCTTATGTGGTTTCGTTGTTTGATATGGTTAAAAATTTGTCATACTTTTAAAATTCGGACAGAGAAATTTTCAGGAAAATTTTGAACAGTCTTTTGCATGTGTGAAGCAAAACCACATCAGGTTATCAAATTTCTTCAACTAAGTTCATTGTCCGAAATTTTAACCGCTGAAAATTTTTGTCATCAATGTATGTATCGCATGATCGATTGGCAGCGAAAATTTTTCAACAATTTGTAGACGCAAAGACTTTCAGTGCAGTGACTGCGAGAGTTTTTACTCTATATTCGAAATACCCCGGGTGCCATAGCCTCTATCATTAAATCTCAGAAATAACGAGGCTCTGGTCTGATACCTATGGTATGTTCGAAAGAAAGCCTTAAGTTCAAGCACATACCTTCATAAACCTCAACCTCGCATACTTGAAGAAATTCTTTCCTGTTCAAATAGACACTAACGTAGCGACCCATCAGGACCTGTGGACAATCGAACTTTTTCAATTCACCACTTGCCAACCTTCCTTCTTTCACACACAGTGCATTGTTTCGTCCACCATTTGAACTATCATCCCCAACACTGACATCGAATGGATTGATTTTCAATTGACCCCAAGTTGCGCCACTTCTTATTTGGACACTTGCGACCGCAGCTTGCCTTGTAAGGTCCACTTGCCACCAGGGTGTCACGTCAGCTTGTGTGATACTGCATCCTTGCCAATCCCCAGTTCTGTTACCATCATTTCCAAAACTGGCAACTAGTAGGATTCCATCTATTGTAGATGTTGATGATTGCGAAGATGGCTTTTTGTACGCGATATTTCCTTCAAAAATGAAAATTGAGAAGAATTTGCAACTGGAGCAAAATTTTGATGATTCTCTAATCCTAATAACTAAATTTTATTATAAATTACAAATCAGTTATAAATTTAGCTCGAAGATATTTTATAATGAAAATTAAAAATTAATTATACGAATAATGATAATTTATCGATTGTACATTGCGAATCTGTTCATTCACCCTATTTTCTTTATCAAATCCTTCGTACTCCAGATTAAAAGATTAAACAAAAAACAAAATTTTGCAACATGATTTGTCATTCAGGATTCTCAAGCAAATATTGTAGTATGGCTGATTCTCAAGGGTGTTACTAGCGGGGATGTAGAAGTGTGATAACCCTCCCCCCCCCCTCCCTGCCAATCCTTTATACGTTGGTTTGTAAAGCTTAAGTTGGTCCACAAAGTTTCTAGTTCGGTTCCGTCGCTTATTGGTAGGTGAAAAAACACCTTGTTTTGACTCCCCTTGTTCCGGACGGTCAAGCTACTATAGATTCCTATCTTATTCGAGCATTCCTATATGCACAGCCCTTTTCTAATAAGAACAATTTTGTTAGAACACAAGCCTCAAAATTGATCAGAACGGAAGAAAATTTTAGAACGAGCTGAGGCAGAGTTACAGAAAATGTAATTTTTGAAAAACTTGTGAAAGCCCCTTGCGTGTCAAAATCGTTCATCCTAGAGATACAGAGGGGTTACTTTTAGCTTTTAGTGGCTGCACCAGATGCCAATGCATTTGCAGGACAAACTAATATTGTTAGACGCAGCCTTTCTACTGGTAGTATCCTTTTACCAACAGGAGTCGCCCTTATTCTCCAAAAGGAAAGTCCATGGGTAATTTTTGTTACGTAATGGTGGCTTTTTAATCATAGAAACACAATGCAGTAAAAAATAATTATTTTCCTTAAAGTTTCAATAAATTGAGGGGATGGGGCATTTTCCCCTGTTCCACTATCGTCTTATCAACAACTTAACTCAAAAATCGTAACTAAAAACAAAAAGGGTTTATCGATGCAGAAGAAAATAAAAATCATAAGCCTTTGTGAAGAACAGCAATCATGCCATTTACGTAAGGTAACTCTTGGTGACAGCAGGTCTGAGAAACGTCTTATAATTAGATTAAAAAAATATCACAGTTTTACCCCAAACCCTGCTAATGACGCTGCTGGTTACAACTTACATAGTGAATTGGATTATAGACTCATACCTTCATAAACCTCGACTTCGCAGACTGGTAGATATTCTTTCCTGTCTATAAACAGACTCACAAATCGACCAACCAGTGGATTGTCGCAATCAAATTTCTTCAATTGACCTTTGTCCACCTGCCCATTTGTAACACAAAGTGGGTTTTTGCGGCCGCCCTCCGATCTATCATTGCCAACACTTACACTGAATGGATTGATTTTACCACTGCCCCAATTCTCAGTGCTTTTTACTCGAACACTCGTCACGTAAACTTCCCTAAGAAGGTCCACCTGCCAAAACGGTTTTTCGTCATTTTCCGTGAGACTGCATCCTTGCCATTTTCCAGTTATGTTTCCATCATTTCCGAAGCCCGGAATCAAATTGATTCCTTCAAAAAAACGCACCGAAGACTGAGAGGACGGTTTTCTAAATGCGACATTCAATGACACCATCTTCTTCCAAACTCGATTGTATCCCTTTTCCTGCTGGAGCTCTTCAGCACTGGATGCTTTTCTGTACCTCTTATCATCTGCAGAATATCCTATATACTTACAGCTTTCATCAAGACCATAGTTATGAAAGAATTCAGTCGAAACTCCCTCGTCATTTCTAATATCAGAATTGTCACCGTCATTTGTTTCAATTGTCCTGAAATATGTTCCTTGTGTTACAAGCATCGAATTCACCTTGCTTGCGCCAAATAGTACCAAAACAACAAAGATGGCATGTTTCAAAAGCATGTTTCTGATTGATTTGCATGTGCAAGACTAAATCTATAATGAGCTGTGTGACATTACTATACTTCTGTTGCGCAGCAACTAAGAGTAATCGTTGTTTGAGCTGTGTGAAGTCAGCTATAAATTTGCAAAATTGTACCTCGAGATTAAAACTGACTCTATGTTTACTTGCGATTAATCAAAGTACCCAATTCCTCTTCAATTCGAACTCAAGCACCTGCATCGTAAATGAAAATTACAGTTGTAAATTTGCTTCATTGAATAAAACAAAGGGATCAAGCATTTACAAAAATATTGCTAGCGCTGTGTGTTTGGAAAACAAACAAGTTTGTTGTGTTGGGGAAAAAACGCAATGATCAAAATGCTTTGCCAGGTCATTTTCCGCAATTGATTTAATTACTCTCATGACGTCTTTAAGATGAAGATTTTTTACATATTCTGAATAGATCTTATTATTTATTTCTGACTCAATAAAAATAATGCATTTATTTACAGTAGGCGTTATTTACAGTTGTAGCTAAAACGATAAGCTAATTAAGCCTACTATTTAAAGGAATAAAAATGCTAATATTATACAGTGAAATGAAAGCTATTTAAAGAAATTAATTAAAATACCTAGGATTTAATTAGATAAATAGTTGATAATTATCATGCTAGACAATTCATGTCAAGAACCCGACCTGTGCTACAAAGGTTCTACATAGCCTGCAGCTGCAATTATCCTTCCATTGTTTGATCTTTACTTTAAAGGTATTAAGAGTATTTGGGTATTTCAAGTTTTCTGGTAGATTGCTTGCATCCTAAATAGGGCAAGCTTTCGATTCCATGAGTGATGGTTCGAGTTTTTGGGATTTTCATTAATCTACTATTTCTAAGATGGTAGTGGCTGCTCTTTTGTATGAATATTTCATTCATAAAGCTTGGATTGAGTTTATGTACAGTTTTGTAGATCTCAACCATTGGTAGTTGAAGGTTTATACGTGCAGGCGATTCATCGACCCATAAAACTGCGCATAAAAGTATTGACGTGTATGCGCAGTTCTCCCCCTGCGTTGTGATTTTTTTCCTTGTCTTCCCATTTCAATGCACAAGTTGTGAGAGCTAAACGTAAGCTTGCAGAAAAGACTTCTAGTTTTGAAATCTAGTGATGTCTAAAACTTGACAACTGCTTTCATGCATGCGTGCTAGTTTTTTCTTATTCATTATATGAATGTTAGGTTTCCATGTCATTTTGAGCAAAATATTGCCTGACCTTCAACTGAATTGTTTTTTACATAATCACGGCCATCAATATTGTACATGGGATTAAATTTCTAGCATGCGAGCCCAGTTCATAACTTTTTTTGTTTGGAAATTTTGAGAAGCATCAAAACATACGTCTAAAACTTGAACGTTACTTTATGCATGGCATGATTTTCTGGCCTTCTCTTTATAGCATCGACATAATCATTGAAGGAGCTATTTTATCTGAATTTTACTCCAAGGTATTGCAGATAGCAGAAGAAGAATTGCAGATTCTAACATCGTTGCCTCCAACATTACGTACATTCGTGTGCGATTTACAAATTTTCCTTCAAACAATCGTTTTTTTCAACATTCACTTCCACCTTAAACATTTTGTAAAGTGAGAGAGCAGGTCCTTGCAAACCATTGGCAGAATAAGAAATTATCACAACATCGTCGGCATAGTAGTATTCTAATTTAAATGTCAGCCAGGGAGACCCTGAATTAACTTCCCTTATTTGCTTGTCTGTGCCATTCAAAATAGAGCAAATAATATTGGACTTAGCAGACAGCCTTGCGCTACCTCTCCCAAGTAGCCGAAGAATTCCGAAAGACCGATGCCCGATTTCTTCTTAGAGTAAAGTGAAGTTACATTATTCAAAAAACAGCTGTGCATTCTATAAAACATTAACTTCTGCAAAGCATTTTGTGGTTAAGGTTACAGTAAACGTTTTGAACACGAAAATTGGTTTTTTCTTCCTAAAGGCCAAACGGCTCAAGGAATCTGGATAAACTATATATCATTCGATGCACAAGATTATGGTGTATCTAGCCAGATAAAAAGTATTGGCAAATAATGTTAAATGTTATTTTCCATGCGAATTTACTGGTCAAAAAGTGTACCACCTTCAAAAGCTATTATGTACCCTTGCGTTTGAGTTAACAAAATCTGACTTAGACCAGCAGGAAGTGCAGGTCCTAAGCTACCAAAGTGTGTCTCAGATTTTTTAAATTCCTCCTCTTCTTGTAACTATACCCTGTCAAAAATTGGCAAATAATTGTTCCACCCTCCCGCAGCTGTATTTGGGTATAAAAGACGGACCAGAGAAAATAAAAAAATTTTGAGACACACTTTGTTTGCCCAACGTCTGCCCTGGCCGTGTGCAAATTTTCGAGCCATTCGATTGGTTCCTTGGGTACATAATAGCTTTTTCGTACCTGCATGTAAAGGAATTTCGAGTCCGGAGAAAACGGGATTTTACTGATCGCACTTGCAAGATACACTCGTAAACCACAGTGTAATCCGGGTCAAGTCACTTGAAGATTTAAGATCAATAAGCCTGTTTAAATAAACACGGCCGTACATTGGGTATATGGATGTGCCATGCGATATTGTAAATGAGACATGCGACTACAACCGCAAAGCAACGATAATCGGCTAAAAAGGTCAAGAGATTTTCAGGCCTCAACTAAAAGTTTTGATAAAGAAATTATGGAAACCTTCGTTTACATGGGATTTTTTCCACTTTCAAAATTTCTGTTTGTTTCAAATTTGGTGTCATTGTGTGCCTTGAAAGTTCGGCTACTTGAATGTGAAAAAATCGAAAAAATGATGTTTTCATCCAGCAAACGTTTACCGTAACCTTAACTGAGAAAAGACGGTCAATCCAACAGATCATAGGCAGCACAGTAGAACCTGGATGGATTTAATTTTCCCAAAAGCATTGCTTCTGAATTATAGACAGCTACTTTCATTTAAGATGAAGATCCTAACGGTTGGCTGGTCAAACATGATTCGATTTTCAGTAACAAATTCTGCTGTTTTCTTGCATTGCTTGTTTCTGTAGTTCTTTGTAGCGCTTTGGTCGATATCGATATAGGGGGATTTTATACATTGATTGTCATAGGTCATTACTCCTTTAACTTCTTAAAACTTCTTGATTGCCATAAATTATCCAGAGATATTTAATTGGTTTTATCTTGGTATCACCGTGATCAGGTACACTCTCTTTTACAAGGACCAGTAAATTTAAGTTCAGGATGACTGTTCCTAATTTATTCGAAAATCTGAGGCTGGATTGTTTTTTGCCAACAAAGTGAGTGAGACAACCCTCATTTGCCGATAAGCTCAATATTCGCCGAAAAAGCACCAACACATGTCTAAAAGTTCATGTTCAACATTGCATTTTAGAGTAGCTCAGCATCAGCTTATTTTTAATTCTTTCTTACCTTTCAAACAATTTTGAGGCTCGTGTTCTTATGAAAATGTTCTTATAAAAAAGTACTGTAAGTCAAAAGGTAACACTTTACAGAGGCACACCTTTCTTGAGTTTGTTGAAAGTGTGTCTTATCAATACTGTTTTCGTGACTAGCTTTAATCATTGGTGCTGGAATTTTCATTTCAGTACAGAATTTGGGCAATTTTTTATAAATTTTACCAATTCCACACATAGCCAGCCAGTACAGTTCTCAAATACATGTCAACTCTCAAATTACAAAACAAATCAAAAGATGTGATAAATCTCCATAGATCACTTTCTTCGGCAATACAGCTGAATCCCACCAGGTTGGACCTTCATGGGGTGTAGGCAAATGTCTTACTTGTCCAGGTGTTTTTACTTGAATAAAGTCAGATGTGAAATCCCACCTTATTCTTCTTCTCTTCTTGACATTAGTGTTCTCCTCAAGAATATATTATTTCAAATCCCTTTGCTTTGGGAACCTTTTTGTTTTTAGTTTTCTGTTAACTTGCTGCTTCTTTCAGGAACAAAACTTTCAAAACAAATAAGACATGCTCTGACCCTCGAAACCTGAACAGTCTGATTAAACTATTGCACTGCTAGCAAAGTAGAAAATGCAAAGAAGTAAAAAACACATTTGTTCTTTTCAAACAATTCTCATTGATAAAATTGTCTAGTACAATCTCTGAACTTTGCCCATAGTGCTCTTCATGTGCAAAGACCTGACATTTTGCCAGTTCTTTTTCAAAAGAGAGACAAGAAAGTTGATGGCAAGGAACACATTTTGTGCCAGTTCTTCTTCTGACATCTCAACATGTCCTACTGCAACATTGAGACACAGAACCTACGATAAATCAACAAAGTCTTTTCTCAGAATCAAATAAAGAACAAAATGTAAAATCTGAATAATAAAATACTCTTACCACCACAACTTATCATCAGATTTTCAATCCATAAAATGATATTTCAAACATATTTAACAGGAATATATATGACAAACAAATACATATATATTACAAAGATGATCAAATTTAGACAGAGAGCACTTGTAAAACCTTTCAAGCTAAAGTGGTAATAATAGAGCTAAGACTTAATGTGAACTTGTACCAGGTATATATATATAAAATCTTTTACAAACATGTAAAACAGATGGAATAAGGAAGTTAAATGTTACCTGATACCATGGGTGACATTTTGACCAAATGGTCTCCCCAGTTATTTTAAGACTCTGGGTGAAAGTCCGGCCCCATTGGGACCTACCAGTTTCAAGGCCTTACCACAACAGAAACAAGAATGAAGCATCATACAAAATATGAAATTTTCTAAAAGTAGCAATATCAAACAAACTTCTATTTGATATCACTCGCATGTATGCCTTATTCTGTGTGCAAAAAATGATTATAATAAATCATATTTCAATTCATAGTTACAGAAAAGTATATAGAGCTATTTATGGTCAAATTCTGTACATTTTTTCATTTTTAGCATATTGTGCTTCTAACATAAAGACACATGTCTGGAAATGTATTATTTATTTTTAATTTTAAGAGACCTATTAGTGTATGATACAATGATGTGTTTCTCAAAGCTCTGGTTTTCAGCATATTGTGCTTCTAATAAAGACACATGTCTGGATATGTCTTTTTTCCACTTTAAGAGCCCTATTGATGTATTGTACAAAAATAAACACGTTTACACGCAAAAGCTTTGTACTGACACTATATATGCATGTATGATGCTTCAAATTCAAGAACTGTTTCTCTTGTGTGCCAAGATTCTGGTTGAAATTACCTTTTTCATCTGAAACTTAATAGTGGACTTGATGTCATCAATTTTGGCCATCATGTTTTCATTATGGGTGATCATAGTGGGGAATTTTCCAGCTTTGTTCAATCCAGGTCCAAGGAGACGTGGAATCTGTTTAATGATGGTGTCTGAGGCCAGGAAAGCATCATGTCTCTTTGCTGGAAGCAATCACAGTGTAACTATACACTTATCAAGTAATGAGATGTATTATTTTGTGGTCAACAATTAAACTTTTGACCCTGTCACAAATAACCCATGCCATCAGGAAAAAATTAGAGTGTATGATTTAAAATTTCATATTGCATTTCGCATCAAATATAATAATCATCATTTGGCAAAGGTAAAAATAAACACCAAGATAAAATATATTTGGAGAAAACCACATAGGATCTGCTAGCATATTACAAACTTGATTGTCTATAATAAACATATAATTTATTCTGGTCTTGTGTATAGACCAAAAATACTGTATGATTTTCATAGAACTGTGCTATTTCTTAAATGAAAAATCTTTAAATTGATGTATAAGCAGACTACACTCACCAAGCTTTTTTACCAGCTTCTTGTCCTTGTTGAGTTTTTTCAGAGACTCAACATCCATGCAAGCAATATTGTTCGCTCTTGCTTCATCGCAATGCGATTCATCTCCCAGAACGCAAACTTTCAAGCTTCGTTTGGGGATATTTTTCAGCTTGACAGTACCGCTGAAACGCTTGTCTTTTTGTGGATCATAATTCTTCAGACCAATTTGCAATTCCACCGTTTCAACAAAGTTTCTCTTCTTGTCCTTCGATCCATCGAGGACCAACTTCACACACTCGAACAAAGTCTCGCGGCTTACCTTGAAACTAAAATACAAATTTATTAAAGTTATTTCTCATGTTACTCTGAGACAGCAGTTAGTGCTGAGGTGATCAAGATTATTAACGCTTGTTTTGCACGAAGAATGTTTTTTAATGAACGAAAAAGTTAAACCTAGGCCGTTCTGAATCTTTGAAAAAAAATCAGTAGCTGGGGAATATTGGCAATGGATAACCAGTTAAAATCAAAGTAAGCAAATCGAATTGAGGTTAGATGAAATTAAAATGCCTATAAATTGAAAGAAAATGCAACAGAATCGTTGATTGGTTTGGATTTTTACCTCATGATGGTTTCCTTCAGGCAGATCCTAGAACGTACTTTGGAAAGGAAAAGGGCAGCGCAGCGGCCGCCCATAGACCATGCGGGTACCTCGTTATCATCCACACAAGTAATTTTCCGGACATTCTTTTGAGGGGATGGGTTAAAGTTGGGGGGGGAGGGAGATTGTCTACACGGTCACTTTAATTCGCTAAAAATAGAAAAATATTATCGGGGGAATTCTCTTAGGCCGACACAAAATAAGTTGGCTATCTCTATAAATCTAAATGAGCATTATAATGGTCAAAGAATATTGCGAACAGAACTATTTTTAAGTCAAGCCAGTGACTGATCATTCGTGTGCTTTTAAAGAACCTGAACCCAAAAAGGCATCTCTCTTAAATAGCATTCCTGTTATGATTCTCAAACAAAATGCAGAATTTTCTGGTTTTCTCATTCAGAATAGTTTTAGTCATTAACAAGGGTGATATTTTTCAATGGAGTTGAAACCTGAGTTTGTGATCTCGTCTCTTTTCATCTCATTATTGTGTTTTTAGTATAACCAATTAACATATCTTATTATACTAACCCTATATTATCTTGATATTCCTCCTTTTTATTTTTCATTCACATTCTTCTTTTGAAATCGAACACCTACACCTATAAACGTCCAATCGGTCATATGACCTAGATAGCTCCTTGTGAGTTCTTTTCATATGTCCGACAGCAAACATACCAAACTTTGAACTATCTACTGTTTGTAGTTTTTCTTTTTTGTAAGAAATAATTGTTATTTGTGGTTCAAGTATTAAATAGAAATGTAGCAGTTAATTATTGCTGTGAATGAAATGTTTTGAGTTTGAGTTTGAGTTTTTAAAAAACAATTTGCTTTTTTCGAAAAGAATTTGAAAACCTTTAATCGTCTTCAATTTTTGAGGTTTTATCCATACGCATTTTCTAATATAAGAATTTATAATCTTATACTGTACCTTTTGGGGATGTAATTATATTAGTACAAAATATTTGACAAATTTACTTCAAACTTTTCGCGTCAATATCATTCACACTTGACTTTCTTCCTCAAAAACCGAAATATGTCAAACTAAAAAATACGTAAAACTGTGGATAAAATGTGAGCCTGGTAATTATTTTTAATTAATTTAAATGTCACCAATTTATGCCTAAAGATTCTTACAAAATTATAACCCAAAACTCATTAACACAAAAAAGTGTCTCGCTCTTTCAAGGAAAGGATATAGAGAGTGAAGATGAATTGGTCCTTCGGCATATTGAGCGAAATAACGATGACAATTCGATATTGAGGCCTCTATTGTTCAATACATACATTAATGACCACTTCATGATTGTGAATGATGTTCAAATCAGTAATTATGCAGACAGGGACGTAGCTAGCGGGGGGTGTAGGGGGTGTGACACCCCCAATTATATATGAGTTTGTCGGTAAATTTTTAGTTAGTGGAAAAAAACCCTGGTTTGTGGGTAAAATCGTCTATCGGGTGAAATAGCACCTAAATTTCTTTCCATCCATGTCTAGCGATGCCCTTAAACATTGGGTAGTGATGCCCTTGAACTTTCAGAATGGTTTCCTAACAGTTATATGAAGTTGAATGAGGACAAATGCCGCCTGATGGTATTTGAGGGTAAAAAAATTGAAACCGTAACCACAGTGGAGATCAAAGGAAAAAATTCTTAGAGAAATTATACTAGACCATAATTATCCTTTAAACAAAAATTAAGGTCTATTTGCAAAAGACTGATCAAAAGCTACATGCACTTTCGAGAATTCTCACTTTCTTAAACGAAGGTCTTCATTTTGTTCCATTCGACTACAGTACGCTTGGTTGGATATTTTGTGATAGAAAGTGGAACAACAAAGTTAAACGTATTCACGAACGGGCATTGCAGTTACAAAGATACGAGATCCGACTTTGATACAATGTTACACAAATAACATGTCCTCTCAGTTCTCGTTAGAAAAGTTACAATTGTTGACAAACAAAATATACAAAACGAAATTGGAGCTGAAAAGTCCTCCTTGAGTCAATGAAAATATATCTTTCCTTGTAGGAATAGTTAATTCGAAAGTAAGTGTTCTTCATATAAATTATCGTCCACAGAACATTGACTCAAACAGAAAAATGAACCGAACCGAACCGAAACGAGCTCTTATAGATAATTCTGCTTTGTTCTGGCTATTGAAACTATAACCCTTGGCTTTGATAACTGAGCTGCCTAGAAGTGGCGTAGATAGAGGTGCGACCAGAGGGGGGAGAAACCCCCCTGTAAAGTTAAACTGTTATTGTGTTGGAAAATTTCTGATCTTGTCGGAAATATAACATGATTGTCTCTTTTATAAAAGTGTTGCACTTTGAGAAGAAAGGTTTTAAAGGTGAATATAACCATTTCTGTCGTTGTTCCGCATAAGGCTGGCCATCTCTTTCAATAAGGTATGATACTTAAAAATTTATCATACCTTATTGATATCTCCTTTTTAGAGCAGATCAGAAAAATCTACAAATAGTAGAATTTATGGCACTTGTTTTAAAAAAGTGGCAAGAGTATATAAATTTACTGTTTTATTTCAGTACCAATGTCGTTATATTTTGCTCAAATTTATGAAAATTTATGAAGATTTTCGTCGGAAAATTTAAATTTCTTGCCCCTCCTATGAATGTTCCTATCTACGCCACTGCTGCCTAGACTTCAAAATTTAAGTCAAAAGGCAATTTTGAAAAATTTCACAAACTCAAACAGGTACTTGGAATCAAGCAAAAGAGTTTAAAGACAAAATTTATACAGTATTTTTGGTAGTGACTATATCCAGCTCCTCTTATGAATGTACATGAATAGTGACTATATCCCCATCCCTCTCAAACAAGACCCCATGTAAAAACTCCTGGAGGCTTATTCGAGAATTTAGGGTGATATCAAATTAACGCCCTTGGTTTCGACCACGTTTCAATTTTTCTAATACAACAGTTTCATGAATCGAAATTTCGTTTCCCGCACGCATTTTTTCTTGGAATTAGACCCGTCTACGATCCAATTCAATATCCTATACGAGGCCATCAAGTAATATTGCTCACGAGTCGAAAGCAAAGGAAAGTACCACAATCAGAAGAGATGTTCGGGACAACTTCAAGTGCATTTGGAGCCACATCAGCTGGTTCTAGTCTGTTTGGTTCAACTGCTACGAACGGTAACGAAAATATTCTTCAATCTTACAGCAAAATGGACTCAGTACAATGGGCCTACTGTCTTATGTCTGTCTGTCTCGCCTCGTTCCGGTCTGCAGAGTATGGCACTTTTCGACGAGATCTCCGGTGTGCACGAGCAAAAAGCCTGGTGTGCCGGTGTGCACCACCAAAAATGTCTGGTGTGCTGGTGTGCACCACCAAAAATGTCTGGTGTGCTGGTGTGCAGCGACTATTTTCCCCTGTTGTGGTTAAAATTTGTGAATTTGCATTTCACCGTAAAAATGCATGTGATGTATACTGTTGAAGATAGCGCAAGTTTTTATTTGTATATTTGTCAAGTAAGATTCATGATACCTCAAATTGCTCCTACAAAACTGTGCTTGTTTTTATCAGCTGACCTTTTCTATGGGACCACACCAAGCCACACCCATCTTAGTTGCCACACCCAAAAACACCTGGTGTGCAACAGGTTTTGCACAAAAATATCTCCGGTGTGCACATGCCATACTCTGCAGACTGGGCCTCGTTGCTGATTTCAATTTGGCGCCCTTAATATTCTCGGGAATTGACGTCCTAAAAAAGAACAGGAAATTATAGCAAATATTAGCTTACATGTTTTTGCAAACCTCCCTGTTTATAGCTAGTTTGGCACCCATTTTCTAAGATTTAACACCTGCAAGAGAACTGACTGTAATAGAGTGTATATATCATATACAACAAAAATGACAAGTTTTAGTATAGGAACTGGTTTGTGCTGGGCCAGCGCTATGGTGGTGCAGGGGGAGGGTTGTTAGTTAAATTTTCAGAAACTTTCAGGCTGCAGCGTATGGCAGTGTTTGACTAGATCTTGTGCACCTACAAACTATATGTGGTGCACTGGGAAATATTTTTTGCATCTTATGCTTGCAATGGTACAGGTTGTGTTGCAAAAAATAGTTTGAAAGCTGAGTATTTCATTTTTAAATAGCATCTGTATGCCTCGTAGTGAGGCTGTGCGCAGGGATGGAGTAATTAATCTAACTTTAAAGGATTTGAGGAAAAAATTATTGCACAAGGAACATGATCCCTGTGCATTCCCAAACTTTGCCATCTGGCACATGAAAATTTTCCACGTACAAACTCCCTTTTATTTTTCAAATGGCCTTCAAAGATTGGCTTTCATAACAGAGCTATAGAAGAGTTGGTTTATTGTTTCAATTGACCTTGGGGCACAGCACTAAACTGACCTTGTGCATTCCATTTTTTCTCCCTGCCAGATATTCCCACCATGCATATGGGCATGGCAGGATTCCTCATCTTGTTTTAGAATGTAAAAGTACCTGATTGGCTGAAAGATACCACACCTCTTTTTTCTCCTGCTCGATATTGGCAAAACATTGAACATGGTCTAACAATAAGCCTTCTTCCAGCAAAAAAGAGCTCTATTTCACCACTTTAGCATGCTTTAACATACTTTCTTAAACAATTTGGAGATAACACGAGATAGCAGAAACATTGTATAAGATATTTCCGCTACTTCGTAAAATCTTTAAATTTTCAGATACTTTAAACTTATTTTATTAAATTCAATAAACATTGCACTTTTCTAGAAAGCAAATTCTTCTTGATATTTTGCTGAGCTCGCTCTTACAAATGGCTATTCAACCTCCATAGTGCATTCCATTTTTTCTCCCTGCCAGATATTCCCACCATGCATATGGGCATGGCAGGATTCCTCATCAACGCCAGATTTAGCTGAGCTCTACAGGACAATCTAGACCACCAACATCACCCATGCTTTCCCAAATTCTGTGACCTTTTTCAAGTGAATGGTTCACAGATTTATTATTTCAGATTACAGCTTGTGTCCACGTCAGTGGGTGAAGGTGGCCTCCACCAACACCTGGACCCTAGTATAGACTTATTAGAGACAATTTTTACTCTTTTGTTAGCCTCTTTTGTTAGCCTTTTCTTATCCCTTGTTCATGATTAACACCGCTTCCACTCTGGCAATAGCCAACCTTTGCTTGGATTTGTTGAACCAAAATCAAATGCAACATTTTGTAGAAATCAACAAACTGGAGCGCTGGGTGGAAATGGTATTGATCCTACTCCTGAGTTAATTTTCCTTTTTTTAATGCTCCTTGAGTAAAAGCTCCAGATTGGTTGTATAGCCTTTAAGAGTTAACGATTGAAGATTGAAGATCGTTTTGCTGCTCTTCTCAATGTTTGTGTTGTTTGTTTGATCTAAAATTTTTTGAAGAGTGAGTTGTAAAGTAAACTTTGTCATCTGGCTGTCCAGCACAGAACAGATTGCAGTCAGTAAAATTCAACTAAATATCTCCATGCAGATATAACACAGAATTCAAAGAAATAATTTAACTTAACATTGACCAAACTGGTATAAAGCTGAAAAAGATGTAATAAAAACTTAATTTCATGGCTGTTGTTGAATTTAGTAGGAGTTGTCTAATTCACAAAGTTATTTAGTCATATTCAGTCCTTTTCGTTTAGCATGTGCAATCGCACCCGCACATGCCTACACTCCTGCAAGTTAAGTTTTCATCACACGTGCAAACAGATGTTTTTGCAGTTTTCTGTTAACAACAATTTCCCATGGTCTCGTGATTGTTTATCCTTTTCCCATTTTACTTGATTAGCACTTTTGACCACAATGTGATTTTTCCAAAATTCAGAAGTGATATTTGGCTTTTGACTTAATGCTCCTTTCCACTTAGTGTCTCGTCTTTCAGCTAAGTCGCCAGTAGCATGTTAAGTGTAATAACTGATTTCCAGACAAAACGTAATTGTGCCCTGAAAGCAAGTAGCTGTTGGAAACAGTTTTTATTTGCTCTTGTAACTTTGGAGAGTGACAACAACTTTTGAAAGATGGCTGCTAAGGGCAACAAAATCTGTTATGTATTGATTGAATTGTGTTTTGCTCTTGGCCGTATTCGAGTGGCTTTTACCTTTCTTGCTCCCTTTACCAATTTTATCAGGTTGGCACTTCAAATTTTCTTACAAGTGCGATCGCACACGCAAACTTGTTTACATCTGCAATTTGCCTCACACATGTAATTTTGCTCACAAAAAGGACTGCACATTAAACATTTTGCAAGCATTACTAACGGTATGCTTAAGATAGAATAGAACTGGCTGCTGGTTTCCATGACCATTCACCCCACACCAGTTTATTTTATTTAGGATCAAGATTCTGGGCCATGCCAGTACTGCCCGTCAGGACATAAAAACAATAAAATATCTGTCAAAAACCTTGTTATGAAAAATTGGGAAATGCTCTTTGCCAGCTTTCTCCAGCAGGAGGGCCTGTAGACAAAAAAGGATGGCTCACCCACTTTGTTGGCAAATGGACCTGATAACCCACTTGAGCTAGCAATAGGTGGATTTGCGATATTTGTGTTATGTTTGTTTGTGATATTTGTGTTATGTTGTGTTATGAATCAAAACTCTTCCACAAAGAGAACAGCCTCCTTGGTCTTGCAGGTCAAAAAAACCTAGTTAAAAATGCAATTCCGCTATCAGGTAGCATTTACTGGAAAACCAAGATTGTGCTAAAAGCTATAATGGCGACATGTTTCAGATTATTGGCAAAGTCCAATTGTCAATCCATCTAGCAGTTCTGGAATTGATCTACATAAATATGAAAAACTGCTTTTGTGTAGACGGAAGGAGTTCATTTTGACCTAAGGACTCCATTGGTAACTTTTTCAATAGGCAAGTTGTACTGATTGCGCAATTTCAACAGTCATGTGCTCGCATTTTTGATTGGCCTATTTTGATCCACAACTGGGTTATATATATTTCCTAGCGTAGAGTTTTTTGTGAGATGAAAAGCTTCAGTATTCTTATCTAATGCTTACTTTTTCATGCCATTTTCAAATATAAAGTTGTAGCAGTATTGAACGTTGTTGTACTGAAGTTGTATAAAGTTGTAAAATATAAAGTTGTACTGAACAAGCATAACTAGACTTTAAACATGTTTTTAATCTAAAAATTACTTCCTGTTATGTTAAGAGTAGGGACACAGATTTAGAGTGGTTCTTTCCTTACACTCAAGCAGCACAGAAAGTTTTCCATTTCTTAAAAATGCATATCGTGTCATGCAATTGCATCACATACAATATCTGAGAATAAAGGTATGGTCTGTGACCCAGGCTAGTGATTCCCTAAATGGATTGCTATAATTAAAATATTATTCTTGGGGCAACAAGACAAAATTTCTGATAAGAAAGTAATCTTTGGAAATGGCCAAGGCATGCTAAATTGTTTTTGTTTTAGAAGAAGGTGCGTGACAAAATGCTTAACTTGTCCTGTCTTGCATGTGCTGAGGAGTGGGTGTGCAATCACTCTCCTCAAACTGAGAGGCCTGATGAAAAAATGCTTACATTAGATATGAATATGATTGTTTTTGTTGACCATTGTGTAAGATCTTAAGTTGTTTTTGTCCTACAGGATCCTTATGTAGGATCTTGCATCAGATCCTACGCACACAGGATCTTGCAGGATTTTTTGTAGGACCCTGTAAGATTTTTCACCAGGGTTGTTATTGTTATTCACTGCCTACAATAGTATCCTTAAAAGAGCTTTATTTCCTATAGCTGCCAACCCAAATAAAGACTTGGAGGTCTCTCAGCCGGGAGATGATACAATTAGCTCAGTTCAATTCAGTCCAAAGGCAAATTTTCTTGTTGCTTCATCTTGGGACAACAATATAAGATGTTGGGAAATACAGCAAACTGGTCAAAGTGTAGCCAAAGCAATGCAGAGTCACACAAAGCCCATTCTGGATTCTTGTTGGCATGACGATGGTACCAAAGTTTTCACTGCTGGTGCCGATAACATGGCTAAAATGTGGGACTTGCAATCCAATCAAGCAACACAGGTACAAAGTGATTTTATAGGTATTCTTCTAGGAAATAACCGCAGTTTGCCTTTCTTTGGTTGGTTAGAACTTAACCATTTTCACATTCAAAGTTGTATGATGCAATTCCATGAAATTGAAAGAATAACTTCATGGTTTTTCATCTATGTAAAAATTTGTAGTAAAGTCAAAATCAAGAGAAATTGATCCATTTATTAGTTGAAGATATTGTCATTATTAAACTGTATATAGTACACACTTCTTATTTACAAGAAACTGTTTTGAAAGAAACTTGTACTAGGTTGACCAAAAATTTAAGAAACTTTAGAGCTAGGCACAAGAAAATTAGGAAATTGTGATAAAATTTCCATTTTAATAAAAAGGAGTCCAAAATATTTTATTTTGTTGCTTTTTCTTTGGAAAAGAAAGCATACTTTGCATTTTGATCTCCATTATTTGTTATTGTTATTTTCATGCCAATATATGTTTATATTCTTCCAAAAATGCTCAACTTCAAAACAATAAGGCAATTTTAGGTCCCAAAAATGAGAATGCCAAAATTAGGATGCCAAATCAAAAGACTTTAGTACCTAGTACTTAGTGCTTAGTGCTCATCCAAGTTTCTTAAAATCTTTTTTATAATGCAAAGGATTTTCTAATCACAATGCAACACATTTTGTCTATAAAAACAATTATACGAGTTAATACATCCCTGTTGTGTAAAGTCCCATCAAATTTACTAATTGTTATAAACGAATTACCGAGCCATTTGATTTATTAGGTAGAAACTGTTATTATAAAACGAAAGCATCTCTAGTGAACAATCAGGCTTCACTGTGAATGCGTCATGTCCTGAAGAATTCATAATCATCTTGATGCTTAATGATTGTGTTGGGGTTGATATACTCCTTTTCTGATCTATTGCTGTCAAGAGCGAGTTGGAATAGCCAATAGGAATACATCTATAGTCAGAACGTAATGAGCTGTGCATGCACAGCGAGCCTTGATGCGGAGAGGAGGCGATGAAGAATTCATAATCATCTTGATGCTTAATGATTGTGTTGAGGTTGATGTACTCCTTTTTTGATCTATTGCTGTCAAGAGCGAATTGGAATAGCCAATAGGAATACATCTCTAGTCAGAACGTAATGAGCTGTGCATGCACAGCGAGCCTTGATGCGGAGAGGAGGCGATGAAGAATTCATAATCATCTTGATGCTTAATGATTGTGTTGAGGTTGATGTACTCCTTTTTTGATCTATTGCTGTCAAGAGCGAATTGGAATAGCCAATAAGCATACATCTCTAGTCAGAACGTAATGAGCTGTGCATGCACAGCGAGCCTTGATGCGGAGAGGAGGCGATGAAGAATTCATAATCATCTTGATGCTTAATGATTGTGTTGAGGTTGATGTACTCCTTTTTTGATCTATTGCTGTCAAGAGCGAATTGGAATAGCCAATAAGCATACATCTCTAGTCAGAACGTAATGAGCTGTGCATGCACAGCGAGCCTCGATGCGGAGAGGAGGCGATGAAGAATTCATAATCATCTTGATGCTTAATGATTGTGTTGGGGTTGATATACTCCTTTTTTGATTTATTGCTGTCAAGAGCGAGTTGGAATAGCCAATAGGAATACATCTATAGTCAGAACGTAATGAGCTGTGCATGCACAGCGAGCCTTGATGCGGAGAGGAGGCGATGAAGAATTCATAATCATCTTGATGCTTAATGATTGTGTTGAGGTTGATGTACTCCTTTTTTGATCTATTGCTGTCAAGAGCGAATTGGAATAGCCAATAGGAATACATCTCTAGTCAGAACGTAATGAGCTGTGCATGCACAGCGAGCCTTGATGCGGAGAGGAGGCGATGAAGAATTCATAATCATCTTGATGCTTAATGATTGTGTTGGGGTTGATATACTCCTTTTTTGATCTATTGCTGTCAAGAGCGAGTTGGAATAGCCAATAAGCATACATCTCTAGTCAGAACGTAATGAGCTGTGCATGCACAGCGAGCCTTGATGCGGAGAGGAGGCGATGAAGAATTCATAATCATCTTGATGCTTAATGATTGTGTTGGGGTTGATAAACTCCTTTTTTGATTTATTGCTGTCAAGGGCGAGTTGGAATAGCCAATAAGCATACATCTCTAGTCAGAACGTAATGAGCTGTGCATGCACAGCGAGCCTCGATGCGGAGAGGAGGCGATGAAGAATTCATAATCATCTTGATGCTTAATGGTTGTGTTGGGGTTGATATACTCCTTTTTTGATTTATTGCTGTCAAGAGCGAGTTGGAATAGCCAATAGGAATACATCTCTAGTCAGAACGTAATGAGCTGTGCATGCACAGCTAGCCTCGATGCGGAGAGGAGGCGATGAAGAATTCATAATCATCTTGATGCTTAATGATTGTGTTGGGGTTGATATACTCCTTTTTTGATTTATTGCTGTCAAGAGCGAGTTGGAATAGCCAATAGGAATACATCTATAGTCAGAACGTAATGAGCTGTGCATGCACAGCTAGCCTCAATGCGGAGAGAAGGCGATGAAGAATTCATAACCATCTTTATGCTTGTCGATTGCGTGAATAGCACAACGTTCTGTTGCTGTTTTTTCCGAAAAAGAACTGTTTAGTTCGATAGTCAGCAATGAAACAGATATAAACAAAAGGAGAGCTTATTAGAGGGAGCAAAGAACAAGAGAGATTACCCTCTGATCTTGCCATTAGATTAGTCTAACTTTGTGGAAGGAGGAAATGGCATAGTGAACTGTCTTCTAGCTTTTCTATGCAAGTGACCCACGTGCCTCAAACATAGTACCTTTAATCGTTTATTCCGTCAAGGAATTCAAAGTTTCTATTATGTGTTTCAAGTTGGCACAAAAGTGCTATAGCATGAGACACTCTGCATATTTATATCTCGTATGTACTCATTCTATCTGCGCGGTATGTAAAATATTTAATTACTTTGTTCGCTAACAAAAAACCATTGGTGGTTTATTTTACAAACTTCTTCGTTTTCAATTCAGGTTGCTCAACACGATGCACCTATCAAAACTTGTCATTGGATACAAGCTCCAAATTATCAATGCCTTATGACCGGAAGTTGGGACAAGTCTTTGAGATTTTGGGATCTCCGACAGCCAACACCAGTTTTATCCCTTGATTTGAAAGAAAGATGTTACTCTGCTGATGTAGTTTATCCTATGGGAGTTGTTACAACGGCACAGAAAGGAATCATTGTCTATCAGCTCGAAAACACTCCTTCAGAATTTAAGCGTATTGAATCCCCTTTAAAGTATCAACATAGGTGTATATCGATCTTCCGAGACAAGAAAAATGCACCCACTGGTTTTGCACTAGGCTCCGTTGAAGGGCGAGTTGCCATTCAATACATCAACCCGCAGAACCCGCGTGACAACTTCACGTTCAAGTGTCATCGCACAGATGTGACAACTACGGCCCAGACGCAAGACATATTTGCTGTAAACGACATCGCGTTTAACCCACAACATGGTACCTTGGCAACGGTTGGCTCAGATGGCAGGTTCAGTTTCTGGGACAAAGATGCAAGGACAAAATTGAAAACATCAGAACAATGTCAACAGCCAATCACTTGTTGTGGATTCAATTCCACTGGGGATATATTTGTTTATGCTGTTGGTTATGATTGGGCAAAAGGCCACGAGTATTTCAATCCGCAGACAAAACCTGTAATCTATCTAAGAAAATGTTCGGATGAACTAAAACCTCGAAATAAGAAGTAGGCTTTCGCATAATGGTTTGAATCTGATTTTGTCTGGACAGATTTATTGTAACCGTAAGCCTTAGAGACATTTTGATAGAACTTAGTAGTCGAATTCTTCTGTCATCAGTGGAAATTCAACTTAGTTCTTGGGACGTAACTTGTTATAAAAATGCCAAAGAATACAGAATGTAAACAGTTTTGATCGTGTTATTTTCAGACATCGCTGCCATAAATATTACGTCAACAATATGCTCTTCAATCAGTGAATGAAATATTGTTCGTTTCTTGAATGCTTTATTCTAGCCGCTGTTTTAGTCAACCATGATTAATTTTTCATACCTGTTTTCGTAGCTATTTGATTTGTCCAATTGCAGTACCTGTTTGTTGTTATAGAGCTTGAATCCTAGGCCCTAAGCTGACGTATTTTGATGCAAAAGGTGTACGTTGCACGTATCATTCATAATCCTTGCTGTTAATCTAGTTTTATTGAAAATTTTCGTGGCAAACTTTAGAAGTTTTAATTAACCAAATCTTTGCTCATACCGACCAGTAGACAATTGTAACCATAAGCAAAGAACATGCCTGGAAGGAACATTGCAAGGACAGGAACAATACTGAAAATATTTCCTGCTTTGCTTAAAACCACTAATCCAGGAACAGATGCTATCCACACTGGATCCTGGTAATGTGAGTATAAATGTTGTTGTCAAGCACATTTTAAGATAAGTATTTCAGTAGTAGCTTAATACCGATGCATAATTTTGTAAAACGATTATTGAACAGGTTCATACTATCATTCGATAACCAAGTTGGCTTGTTTGTTTGAATATTATTCCCTTTGGTAAATATTGTTATTCTTTTTCGTATACACTACCGCTTTTTGTGGGTTAGTAAACTACGCTGCCTCTATCTGGTGAGTTAAAAAGCCACGTCTCACTTCATATCCGTCAGCTTATTTGTCAACGTCACGAGTATGGTTTGAATTTAAAGAAAAGAGGGTCAAATTGTCGATCCTCAATATTCTTCTAAAATTCATCCTTATCAAAAATTGTGTAATGGGGGCAGAAATAGAAGCTTAGAAAGCAGTGCTTCCTCCTTTCTCAGACCGAGCAAATCTGATATTCGCAGGGAATTTTCAAGGTAAATTAATTTTCTAAAGAATTCCTGAGTGAGTTCTGTAATTATGGTGTTTGCTGTTTTTAATGCGATATCTGGATTAATACACTGTTAGTTAAAAACAACAGCTAAGTCCCATCTACTACTAATATAGAAGAATAAAGCTCAGACTACTTTATTTTTTTGGGTTAGGTTTCACTGCTTTCAAAATATATGAAAAGATGTTAGAAGCCAATCAGATTATTTGTTCACATCGACAGTGCCTGAATGACAGTATAAGTTCAATGAGAAAGCACACTGGCACTTCATACTGAATTGAAAACTTTCGATCAACTGTTTTCATGTTCACTAGATTCCCTCCCTAAATCTTGTGTTAAAAACTTAAGGACATTAGAAACTTCTCTGTCTTACATTTCAATAAGTTTTCTCGTCTACTTTTCCTTGACAATTATTAATGCTAAATAACTCATAATGCAGCCATTTGTGTCTACCAATACAAATATTGCTTCCAAATTCCAAAAATAATTATTGTTGAATTTGACTAAAAATTTAGAAATATATTTGAGAATGAAGAGCATAGTTTAAGGACATTGCACTTTGATTTGTCGAAAAATTGTATTAAGATTCTTATAGTTTTTATTTCAAACTGTGGTGTTCAATCACAGATACTCGGACTTTCACTAAGTGGGAGAGACCAGAGAACAGAAAACGCCTTAACCTGCCTCCGGATGAATTTTCCCTGGTATGTATCTTTTAAGTAAGGGTTCCTCTAAAGGGAAATTAAGTAAATCATCTTTGCCTTTCTCATTTTGTCAAGAAAAAGAAAAGTTCAATTCAAGCACAAGTAAATTTTCTCACTTTATATACTCTTGTGAGGTTATCAATGACCTTGCTTAAAACTACATCATCTTTGGAAAATTAACTTCCGGCCCAGAGCCGTGAAGCCGTAATTTTGTCTGGACTCTGGGAGAGACTTTAATTCCAAAGGGTTTTCCTACCTTATCCAAGTCAAAAGTAGCCTGCATGCAAACTTTACTTTCCGTTGCGAAGGAGAGCCAGGACGGAACTTGGTTCTCCTTCGCAACAGAAAGTAAAGTCTGCACGCAGGCTAAGTCAAAAGTCGTACCCCAATTAAGTCGGACATTCCTTACGCCCTTGAAGGTTCGACTTGACGGAATTCAACTGTAATGAATGACAAAATGCAGACAAAATGGCATCCATTTATTTAAATTTTCCTCACGACAGTACTGACATAGATCTTCCAAATCATATTAGATTGTCTACTGTTCGTTAATCTTTTATTCAATTGTTTCTATAAACTATGTTTCTAAATAAAGTTTAGCTTATATGATACCATTTGATCATTAAATTATGCCTTCTCTTAGAATGAAGTCAACCTTCGGAATAACTCATACTTCGGCGATGTCAATCATAAGGAATCTGGTGTTGATGGTTCTGATTCTTGCTGCAGTTGGGATTTATTTTGTTTTCGTGATCCATTTGCGCAACGTCAATTTAACACTGTCAAGCACATCTCACGGAAAGAGGTTGCCTAAAAGTCGTCGTGTCATAGTGCTTATTTCACAGCCTCGATCTGGCTCCACTTTTCTCGGGAGAGTTATCAACATGTATGAGGAAATGTTGTACGTATATGAGCCTCTTCAAGCTGTCTTGAAACTGAATGAAGTGACAAATAAATCAACTAAAGCAACCAGAAAGTACACAGAGGTAGCTACGTCGTTTTTAAAAGAACTTTTCGGCTGTAAATTTTCATCAACAAAAGAGGATTGGTTGCGTAAAGTTTTCAGTTCACCAATGAATTTTGAAAGTTCTTTCTCCCAGCTCTGCCGAACAATAACCGTTAAAAATGCGCGATTGTGCAGCGAACCAAAAACAACAATCTTCCACAGCCTGTGTAGAAAGTGTAAAACGTTATTTGTGAAGTTACTGGAACATCGTCTCCCAACACCGACAGACCAGCTTTTCCAAATAACTCCTGCAACAACAGAGATGCATGTGGTATATTTGACGAGAGACCCAAGAGCGTCCTTCTGGTCGTTATTAAATAAAGGTTGGGTGAGTGACAGGCTTGAGGGATATTTCGAGAACTATATATCTGAGAGGTGCCGAGAATCACTCCTAAACATAAGGCGAATTGCTGTAGGAAAAAGAAAAATAATCATTTTGCGGTATGAGGATTTTCTGCATTCTCCTTTAGCCATGGTAAGGAAATTATCAAACTTTCTTGGAGAGCAAATGAACTTGGAATTTCAAGAAAATTACTTGCAGTTAATTCACAAAGATGAACGGCGCTGCTCAAAAAACGGAACATATATAAACCCGACTGTAACAAGACCCAACTGGCGCACTGAAGCAAATTCAAATTTTGTACGCATTGTCGAAAAGCATTGCAAAGAGGTTATGGATATTCTTGGGTATAGAAACGTGAAAAACACAGTGTATAGCAATTGTAATAATGAATACCTCGTGGAGTTAGAGGATGTTCCTTTGCTCGCACGATTCAATTACAAAGAAGATATCTATTGATTTGTTTGTTTTGAATGTACTTTTTCAGAAATTATAAACCACTCGTAGTTGCAAAGTGATGACGTCATACTAATATGTTTAATGAACTTTTTGATTTTGGTCAAATTAGTAGACAGGTTCGTCCCTAGCTATTGTGGTCAGGGTAGGGGACGGGGATGCTCCGACCCTATTTCCTGACAAAATTGGTGAACCATATTGCCAACAATATTGCGTATGAAACAACCTGTACTGTAAAGGAACTTATTGTTAACTCAAAAATGCGCCTATCCATTAATTTGGTAAACTCGTGTCACCATTCAATAAAATTTGCAACAGGGCTTTATTTATCCATAGGGTCGCAATAGAGTGTACATTCCAGCGAGGAGCTCAGTTCTTTGAACCCAGAAAAAGGGCAAAGCAGCATAAAGTGCTCCGTATCCTCAATCTAGGGCACATCTGGTTTGTTGTGTCTCTAAAGTTGTGTTGAAATTTGTTAAAATTTTGCTCGCTTTGGCTAACTCTGAGCTGAGGCCCTTCGGATCATGAATCCCAAATACAGATTTTTTGGAAGGGCGTATCATGGTTAGTCGTTTTTCCTTAAAAAAAGCCACAACAAGAAGAAAGAAGGAAGATTGATATTTTTTCTGTCCTAGCTCGTATTTGACCGATTGCATCAAGTTTTCGAATTGAATATTGGAACTGTTTAAGTTATGATATTGGATCTTTTCTGTAGTCCGGGGTAAAATTATTTACAATTCTGTGAAATAGGGTTAGGCATCTACCACGTCTTTGGAGGCTTAGAGATTCCCACCCGAGATCAAGGTACAGCTTATCTCGAGACGTTTCCCTCCAAGCTCCCGTTACAGTTAAGCTGAGAAGCATAGAACAGCTTCTAGCTTCTCCATTAAACTTGAAACAGTCATACTAACAGTAGAGTCACATATTTTTGGTAGATTATGGTAAATTACATCTCTGTAACCTAAGAGGGATCGAATATAGAGCTTGTTTTGTTCATTTAAAGCTTGTATATATCATTTTCTCAAACTTTAGTGGAAAAGACTCATAGATTTCCTTTCTTACTTTTTAAAGCAAACGGCCCTGGTGGGGATCCCCACTTTGCCACCCAGTTCAGACCTCGCCTGGCAGCAACTATCTTTATTATCATTTTTTACAGAGGCTCAACAAGTACTTTGTTAGACAAGTAGTTGTGTCTTATGCAATCACCATCATAGGCTAAATTAACCTCTTGCTAATAACAATTTTAGTAACAGCATTGCCTCATTCTTGATTGATGGTGTAGCTGGGTACATGGACGGTTTTTAATCCATTAAAGTTAATTTCTAGTCTCTTCATGCAAAATTTCTTCCTTAAATATAATCTCTTCCCACCTTTTACCTATACTGTATGTTTAAAAATCTAGCCACTTTTTACATAGATGTAAATTTCCGACATGGCTTGAGCTTTGTCTTGAATCGGCACGTCTATGCTGATTAGTATCATGCTGTATAATTTTCGCAAAGCATCCTATTTGGCTGTTTACAAAATGCTAACGTTGAAACATAAGTTCAGATGCTGATTTGCAAGAGTTCGAAAAACGTTGCCTTTCGTGCTCTAATTAAGCTGCGCAAAGCTACTTTCAAATACATCCATTCCATCATATAAACCTAAGCCCTTTAACTTGCAGTATGCTTTTTTAGCTTGAGTACAATTGTCTTAGTGACAGGTTTTC